CGAAATAACACTGACAATAATAATAACACCACCAACAACAGCAATTATCAATAATACAACATAACTCCAACCAATCATAATGAAAATGATAATCATGATCATTATACAACTGGGAGTAATAAAATGAACCGCATTATTCAAATTATTGCTTTTTTTCTTCTTTTTCTTTTTTTTTCGTCTCGCGATATCGCTCAAGCAGAAATATGCGAGAGAAATCCTTGACTTTGGCGAGAAATCGGGTCTTTGTTGCTTGAAGAAGCTGTGCTGGCGGCGACATAATGCGAGGGCCCGGGAACGTAAGAGGCGGGGGTGATGGTGAGGGGGTTGTGGTGCGGGTGATGGGGTTGTGGTGGGGTGAGGGGGTTGTGGTTGCGGGTGATGGGGTTGTGGGGGGTGAGGGGGTTTGTGGTGGGGGTGATGGTGAGCGGGGATTGTGGTGGGGGTGATGGGGTGGAGGAGGTGGTGGGGGTGATGGTGAGGGGGGTTGTGGTGGGGATGGAGGAGGTGGTGAGGGTGATGGGGTTGTGGTGGGGGTGATGGTGAGAGGGTTGTGGTGGGGGTGATGGGGTGGAGGAGGTGGTGGGGTGATGGTGAGGGGGGTGTGGTGGTGATTGTGGGGGTGATGTGAGGGGGTTGTGGTGGGGTGATTTGGGGTGGTGGTGGGGGTGATGGGTGAGGGGAGTTTGTGGTGGGGGTGATGGGGTGGAGAAGGTGGTGGGGTGATGGTGAGGGGGGTTGTGGTGGGGGTGATGGGGTGGAGGAGGTGTGGGGGTGATGGTGAGGGGGGTTGTGGTGGGGGTGTGGTGGGGATGGAGGAGGTGGTGAGGGTGTATGGGGGTTGTGGTGGGGGTGATGGTGAGAGGGTTTGTGGTGGGGTTGATGGGGTGGGGGTGTGGGGGTGATGGTGAGGGGGTTGTGGTGGGGGTGATGTGAGGGGTTGTGGTGGGGTGATTGTGAGGGGGTTGTGGTGGGGTGAGGGGGTGGGAGGTGTGGGGTGATGGTGAGGGAGTTTGTGGTGGGTGATGGGGTGGAGAAGGTGGTGGGTTGAGTGAGTGGGTGGGGGTATGGGGTATGGTGAGGGGGGTTGTGGTGGGTGACGGTGAGGGGTGTGGGTGGGGGATGATGGGTGGAGGAGGTGGTGGGGGTGAGTGGTGAGGGGGTTTGTGGTGGGGGTGATGGGGTGGTGGGGGTGATGGTGAGGGGGGTTGTGGGGGTTTGATGGGGGAGGGGTGGTGGGGGTGATGGTGAGGGGGTGTGGATGGGTTGATTGTGCGGGTGAGGGGGTGGTGGGTGATGGTGAGGGGGTTGTGGTTGGGGGTGATGGGGTGGAGGAGGTGGTGGGGGTGATGGGGTGAGGAGGTGGTGGGGGTGATGGTGAGGGGGGTGTGGTGGGGTGGATGGTGAGGGGGGTTGTGGTGGGTGATGGGTGGGAGGAGGTGGTGGGGTGATGGGGTGGAGGAGGTCGGTTGGGGTGATGGTGAGGGGGACGTTGTGGTGGGGGTGATGGTGAGGGGGTTGTGGTGGGGGTGATGGTGAGGGGGTTGCGGTGGGGTGTGGTGAAGGGGGTTGTGTGGGATGATGGGGTGGAGGAGGTGGTGGGGTGATGGGGTGGAGGAGGTGCGGGTGATGGAGGTGGCAGGATGATGGGGGTGATGGGGTGGGGAGGTGGTGGGGGTGATGGGGTGGAGGAGGTGCGTAGGGGGGTGTGGGGTGATGGCGGTGGAGGAGGTGGGGGTGATGGGGAGGAGGTGGTGGGGGTGATGGGGTGGAGGAGGTGCGTGGTGTGATGGGGTGGAGGAGGGTGGTGGGGGTGATGGGTGGAGGAGGTTGGTGGGGGTGATGGGGTGCTGAGGAGGTGGTGGGGTGATGGGGTGGAGGAGGTGGTGGGGGTGATGGGTGAGGGGTGATGGGGGTGGGGGTGAGGGGGTTGTGGTGGGGAGTGATGGTGAGGGGTGTGGTGGGGTGATGGGGTGGAGGAGGTGGTGGGGGTGATGGGGTGGAGGAGGTGAGTGGGGTGATGGTGAGGGGGTTGTGGTGGGGGTGATGGTGGAGGGGGTTGTGGTGGGGATGATGGGGTGGAGGAGGTGGTGGGGGTGATGGGGTGGACGGAGGTGGTGGGGGTGATGGTGAGGGGGTTGTGGTGGGGGTGATGTGTGAGGGGGTTTGTGAGTGGGGTGATGTGCGGTGGGGTGATGGTGAAGGGGGTTGTGGTGTGCGGGTGATGGGGTGAGGAGCGTGGTGGTGGCTGATGGGTGAGGAGTGGTGCGGGTGATGGGGTGGAGGAGGTGGTGGGGTGATGGGTGGAGGAGTGTGGGGGTGAGTGGGGTGGAGGAGGTGGTGGGGGTGATGGGGTGGAAGGTGGTGGGGGTGATGGGGTGGAGGAGGTGGTGGGGTGATGGGGTGAGAGGTGGTGTGGGGTGATGGGGTGGAGGAGGTGGTGGGGTGATGGGGTGGAGGAGGTGGTGGGGGTATGGGGTGGAGGAGGTGTTGATGGGTGGAGGAGGTGTGGGGGATGGGAGGAGGGTGGTGGGGGTGATGGGGTGAGGTGGTGGTGGAGGTGGTGTGGGGGGTGAGGTGAGGGGGGTTGTGGTGGGTGGTGGGGTGGAGGAGGTGGTGGAGGGCAGGATATTGGGGTGGTGTGTAGGGGTGAGGATAGTGGGGTTATGGGTAAGGGTGTAGAAGAGTGAAGATATTTAATTCACTGTAAAAGAAGAGAACTATTTTTTCCTAAATATATCAGTAGAAATATTATCTTTTTGTTTAGCCCTGAGAGTAAAAGTCTTTCTCTCTCTCTCTCACTCCGACACACACCGGTCCACTCACCCACACCCGCACAAACAAAAGCACATACACAACACACACACACACACACACACACACACACACACACACACACACACACAACACACACACACACACACACACACACACACATACACACACCGCACACGCACACGCACACACACACACACACACACACACACACACACACACATATATATATAGAGAGAGACACACACACACATATATACACACATATGTGGACTACTAATGCATATACACACACAAAGATTAACACACACACACACGCACACACTTTTACACGAACACACAGGTACGTGGTTGTTTATGTGAATTCATGTATATATACATTAAGTATACGCGTCAAAATACCTTAAACATGAGAGAGAGAGAGAGAGAGAGAGAGAGAGAGAGAGAGAGAGAGAGGAGAGAGAGAGAGAGAGAGAGGAGAGAGAGGAGAGAGAGAGAGAGATATTTAATTCACTGTAAAAGAAGAGAACTATTTTTTCCTAAACATATCAGTAGAAAAATTTTATCTTTTTGTTTTGAGAGTAAAGCGCCAAATCTTTGCTATTTTCCGAATTTTGTTCAAAAGGGATAAATCCTCTATTTTATCTGATCAGTGATAGTTATGTTCAGGTTTCTGTGAAGATAAAAATTATCTTTTATGTGGAAGGAGTGAGTTCAGAGTAGAAATAGATGTCGTGTTCTGACAAATTAGATTTTGAGCATAATAATTTCGACCGAAGGGGCTACGTAGCTATTAATATTTTTCTCCTCGCTTCAATTAAATTCGATCAGTAATAATTATAAAGTTTTCTGTGAAGATGGAATTTGTCTTTTTTGTGGAAGAAGCAAATTAAAAGTAGAAATAAATGTGTTCTGGTAAATTAGATTTTGAACCTAATAAATTTGACCGATGGGGTACGCGGGTATTAATATTTTTCTCTTCGCTTCAGTTAAATCTGATCAGTGATACTTATGTTAAGTTTTCTGTGAAGATAAAAATTCTCTTTTTTGAGGAAGAAGCAAGTTAATAGTAGAAATAAATGTCGTGTTCTGGCAAATTAGATTTCGAGCATAATAATTTTGCCGAAGGGGCTACATGACTATTAATATCTTTCTCTTAGCGTCAGTTAAATCATTCTTATCTTCAACGTTTATGCTGTCAACATTGCAGTTTAAAATGAGATAGATTTATCCCTACTTCACATTTGTTATTGTTCGTCTATATATTATTTCTTGACATTTTAATATTATCACTCGTTCTAATTTTATCACATTATCTTCATATCTTTACATTTTCTGTAATTGTATAATATCACTTATGAACTTGCAGTATTTACTCTAATTTATCTGTCTTTATGAATACTCTATATATATATATATATATATATATATATATATATATATATATATATATATATATATATATATATATATATATATATATATCATCGTAAAACATTACTACTTTCATGAAATTACTTGTTGAACTTGTGCAATAATGATCTCCCGATTGTAACATATTATAATCTATTTAATTTAAATGCATTAATGTAATCGTAAGAAGGTTTATCGCAAAATATAATTTACAAGTTACTGTTGCTGACGAAGAGCGGTCATCTATTCAATAGCAAAAAACATCTTACTTATTTTTATTCCCTTTCGTAAATCACTTAATCGAATGTTGTTAATGATGGCCGTCAGTGATTTTTTTTAAATAAGGCATTATTCAAAAACCTTTAACTCCTATTAACGAAAAACATCTGTTTCTACATCACTATGTCATCAATCATTTAACATGCTACTGTTAACGACGACCGCCTATTTACCTTTCATAGACACTTCATTCGTTAGTCTTTTGGTGTTAACGAGAGCCATCGCAAACCATATTTCGTTCATCTCTTCCCCATAACGAAGGTTAGATTTTTATCCATCATCATAGACAATATTTCGTCAACTTATTCCCTATAACGAAGGCTATTTATTTATCCAACACCATAACCCGTATTTCGTTCATCTATTTCCCATAAAGAAAGGTACCTATTTATCCATCCCCCAAAACCGCATATCGTTCATCTATTCCCCATAACGAAGGCAATCCATCCCTCACCATAAGCCGTAATTAGTTGATCTATTCCTTCTCCCCCCCCCCCCGCGTTCCCGCCCTGCTAACCGCCTGGCCTCCCCCGCAGCCGTCGACGTCGCTTGGGGAAGATGTAGCCCCGCGGACCGACGCGCCGCCTCGCGAGGACCGGACTTTCAACTTCGACTCTCGATCAGCGGATCTCGCCGACCGCTCCATCGAGAATGAACCCCGACTCGACGAAAGGTTGCAGATAAATGCTCCACGAATTGACGACAAACCCCAGCTGAATCTGGCACGACTAGACGACAAGCTTCACCTGAACGGGCCCCTGCGCGAGGAACAGCTCCCGGGCAGCCCGACGCGAAGCCGCTTCATTGGAGTCGAGGTGGTCCCCGGTACCCCAGAACGGACCCCAGACGCTGAACCACGACAGTGTCCCCCACGAGAATGGTTCCGACACCCTGAGGTCGCTCGACAGCGTGCCATGGAACCTAGACGGGACTCAGACCATCATAGAAAACGGGTCCAGAGCGGGCGTGAAGAATGGATCTGCCCTCGCCGAAGAAAACGGCCAGGAATCGCACATCAGTCTGGAGGAGGAACTGAAGCAACATCGGGAAGAGAACAAGAGGCTCAAAGCTGCCCTGAGCGAGGTGAGTTGCCCGGGCCCTTATTGGCGTAAAATCTGGAATTCAAATTTCTTTCGGTATCAGATCCAGTCTTCCATCTTCAATTTGATTTATAATCCTCATTTCCCAATCAAAATAAAGATAACCTTAAGCCGATTTGACCTTGTCTCTCTCTCTAGGCAGCCGAAGTGAACAACCAGTGGCGACAGTACCACGATGAACGCCAGAGTTACGTTCAGCGTCTTCTGACGACCATTCACGAACTGCAACATTCCCAGCCCACCGCCCACTCCCCCAGACAGGTGGGTTTCCCCTTCGTTTTCTCAGCCCACTCTCACGGCTCCATGATGAAGTTAAAGCTCTGAGGTTGTTTAGGAGTATTGCGTTTTACTGTCTTCGTCTTAGTTGTTATGACCATATTACGAAGAGAAATCCCTCTTCTTCTCTCTCTCTCTCTCTCTCTCTCTCTCTCTCTCCTCTCTCTCTCTCCTCTTCTCTCTCTCTCTCTCTCTCTCTCTCTCTCTCTCTCTCCTCTCTCCCTCTCTCTCATCCCCTCTCTGTCTCCTCTCTCCCTCTTTCTCCGTCTTCTCTCCTTACTCTCTCTTTTCCCCTTCTCCGCTCCACCCTCTCTCTCCCTCTTCCTCTCTCTCTCTTTCTCTCATTCGCTCTCTCTCTCTCTCTCTCTCTCTCTCTCTCTCTCTCTCTCTCTCTCTCTCTCTCTCTCTCTCTCTCTCTCTCTCTCTCTCTCTCTCTCTCTCTCTCTCTCTCTCTCTCTCTCCTCTCTCTCTCTCTCTTCTCCCTCTCCTCCCTCACCCTCATTCACCAACACCACCCTCTCCACAACACACTCTCACCCCTAATAAAACCAACACGAGACTTCCTATTATTTCTTCCTTCTTCTCATCCTCCTCTTCGTCTTCCCTTTCGCAGCTGGACGGCGAGGGAAGCGGTTCCAGCGGACATGACGCTGAGGTCAGAAGACTGCGAGAAAGTATGGCTCGAATGCAGGCGGATCACGAGGAACACGTGCAGCTTTTGGAAATGCAGGTACGTTCTTTTCTGTTATTATTGTTATTGTTTTTTGAGGGATCACAAGGTACGTGGACAGCTGTTGGAAATGCATGTGCGTTTTATTATTTATTTATTTTGTTCTTATTGTTGTTTTATTATTTTGAGGGGGATCATGAGGGACGTGGGCAGCTGTTAGAAATGCAGGTGCGTTTATTATTATTATTTTTTTTTGTTTTTTTATTTTGTTTATTATTATCATTATTTTTAAATTATTATTGTTATTATTATCATTATTTTTAAAACTATTATTGTTATTATTATTATCATTTATCATTATTATTATCATTATTATAATTCTTAAGGTGGATCGTGAGGAACGTGTATAGGTGTAAAGCTGTTGAATGTATATATATTTTTTATCTTTTTATTTTTTTTATTTCTTATTTTTTTAAGGGAGATCTGAGGGAATGGTTTTTATATTAACTAATAATAGTAATAATGATAGTGATAATATCAATTTTATTATTATTGTTATTTATATTATTATTATTATTATTATTATTATAATTTCTATTATCATTATTATTTTTTGGGGGGTTAGGGGTGGAGAGCAGATAATTTGTCGATGCATTTTTGAGGGGATGGTGAGGGTAGAAGGGGGGGGGTGAAGGAATAGGGGGTGAAGAAGATGGTGAGAGCGAGGGGTGGAAAGAAGGAGGGAACAGGGGGATGGAAGAAGTATTGAGCAGGGTGGGGAGAAGGAGGGAAAGGGGGAAAGGGGGGGGGGAATGAAGAAACGAGGGAAGGAGGGAAGAGAGGAATCCGGGAAGAGGGGGAGAGGCAAAGGGAAAGGGAGGAACAAGAGGATGAGAGGGATGGCGAGGGAAGGGAGGAAAGAGGGGGGAAATAGGGGATATAGAGATAATGGGGGTAAAAAAGGGGACATGAGGTGAGGGGAAGAGAGAGGGAGAGTGAGGAACTGATTTGAAATGAAAAGATCAGAGCGGAATAGAGAAGAGGGGAAGAAAGGGAAAAAAGGAAAGGAAGAGGGAGAGATAGAGAAGTGAGGGGAGAGGGGATGGTAAGAAAGAGGGAATGTCATTATTATTAATAGTGTTGTTGCTTTTATTATTATCGTTGTTATTATCCTCTTTATCAATAGTCTTATCGCCATTATCATCATTATCTTTATAACTATTGTGTTTTCCATTTCCGTCGTCAATATGGACCACTGCTATTTTTTCCTATGTTCTTTATTATTCATGCTGATGGTTTGCATGATGTTTGTGCGTGAAATACCTGAGCATGCGCTGTATGTCACTCTATGCCATGCAGTAGCGTTGGCATTATTAATACAACAACAGTAACAACGAAATTATTCTGACATTTTGTAATAGGGTATTTCCATAATCATCTACAAAAGTATTATCAATATTTGTCCATCTTCACTATGCATGCGGCTTTTGGGGGGAAAATTTACTTCATTTTCTGTATTATCTTTATGTACTATGAAATGCGACAAATTTCTTGCACAGAAGTAACATTTGCGTGATATAATAAACAATTAAGGACGTTATTGATATGAAGCTAAATCTCAGCTGTTAGAAGTAAACAATGGAAGGTAAACACAGGCCAGCGTGAGGTACGATCTGTAAACACACAACCTGCGTATTGAATGAAATAGCAGGTTCTGGGTTTTCAGTGTAAACGAAGGCTTATGTGAACTAAATCAAATGCAAGAGGGAGAGTATTGAATAAGAATGAATTATTGCGCAGTGTAAAATATGCAATATGGGCTTCGATTTTTACATTATCATGAAAAATACGTTATTTCGGTTAAATAATTGGGTAATATTTAGGTAGAAAAGGGTAAATATATAGGTAGTATCGAAATATCTGTATCTTTCAAATGTTGAAATCATTCTCTGCTGACGATTTTGTGAAGTGTAAAGACGAATATTTTTCAAGGGAGAAGGGAATAGATCCACTGCAGAAAAATGGAATTGATTTTGCATAGTGATATGGCACTTAATATCTTCATTCATACACAAGTTAATATCCTTGGTTACGCTCTATATAAGGACTGTAAGTAAGTCTAATGTTATTGCAAAAGTGTGAAAGGGTTTTCAGAGAGAGAGAGAGAGAGAGAGAGAGAGAGAGAGAGAGAGAGAGAGAGAGAGAGAGAGAGAGGAGAGAGAGAGAGAGAGAGAGAGAGAGAGAGTAGAGAGAGAGGGGGGGGGGAGAGGGGGAGAGAAGAGAGAGAGAGGGAGAGAGAAGAGAGAAGGGGAGAGAGAGAGAGGGGAAAGAGGGGGGGAGAGAGAGGGGAGAGAGAGGAGAGAAGGGGGAGAGAGGGGGAGAGAGAAGAGATGGGGAGAGGGGGGAAGAGAAAGAAGAGAAGAAGAGAGAGAGAGGGAGAGAGAGAGAGAGAGGGGGAGAGAGAGAGAGAGGGAGAGA